AAGTTTAACATCGAAATATTTTGGAAAATTCTTCTTTATTAGCGGCCCCGAGGGGATCCCTGTTAGAATAGGTCCTCAGTACCCCCTTGCTTGTCGTAAAAGGCGACTAAATGGGGCGGTCCTTCGGATGAGACCGTATAAACCGAGGCCTCGTGTCACAGAAAGTGTGGCACGATAAAGATCCCTCCCTGCTCAAAGGCCCTGAGTGCCGAGCATAAGCCTAATTTTGCAGCCCTTCACCGGCAATGGTGACGTCTCCATGTCAGTGAAATATTCTGGAGAGGGACATTAAACAATATTCAATCAATCTTTATTAGCAAAGCCATAATTGATCATATTTATATTGAAGCATCCTTGGGTAGTGTAGAATCAAATTTGTTTAAATTATGACCCAAATAGGTTAGGGGGGGGGGGGGCACAATGGTCGATCAAATGTTTACATAGACATATATAGAAAAATTCCTTAAATATCATTTTCTCAAAGACAGCAAAGCCATGATTGGTCAAAGGACTACTTTTGGATATAAACTTTTCAATAATAAACCAATTTCAAGTTCTCGAGAAGAAGAATTTTTTAATGACCCCGACCTATTTTTGTCTTTTCTTGATTATCTCCCCTTGTGATGGGAATTGGCCCTTTATTTTAATAATTTCAATTTCCCTTCACCCAAGGATGCTTTGAACCAAGTTAGGTTAAAATTGGCCCAGTGGTTCTTAAGGAGAAGTCGAAAATATGAAAAGTTTACGGACGGACGACGGACAAAATGTGATCAGAAAAGCTCAATGGAGCCTTAGGCTCAGGTGAGCTAAAAATTAAAGTCAAGTATGAGAAAAAATTTTTAATGAGTGGGTACTGGTAAATTATAAAGGGACAGTAATTTTTCAAACAATCCTGACGCTGTTTTTTGAGGTAACATTGCCGTAAAATGTGCTCCGCAGATACAAAACATGATTTTAAATTGAAGTATACTGATTTCTGTTAAATGAAGAGGAATGAACCTTTACACAAAAGCAAAACAAATTATTATATGTATCATATTTATTTGCTTACTTTAAGTTTCTAATGAGAAATTGGACAAAAAGAGATTTCGCCCACGAAGTTTTCGAACAACCCTCGTAGATGTCCTTGTCAAATCTTAACCAATTTCATCTATGCTAGCTTTACGTTTTACGTTCCGTCCTTACCCGACTTTTATAGCATACTCAACACTTTTGTTAACCAAATCGACTTGTAGCAAAATCCGTTACCGATGCCTATCCTACACCAAAATATAAATATATGTATTTGCATAATTGGTAGGACGTTGAAAACTTAAAAACATTTTAGTTCACGTAAATTGCTTTCAAACTGGTAAAAATATGTACAGAAAAACATTTAAGAGATGAAATTTTTCAAAGTATTGACAAATCTAAATCCTGAAGTGACCTCATCAGCAAAGAGTCCACTATAAGACTTCACTGAAATTTATTTCTTAACGAATGAAAACTATACCCAAAGTTATATTTATATCATAAAACCATACATGTTTGGTATATTGAAGAAAACACAAGGTATATGTGAGAAAGATAATCTATCTGTGAATACTTAAGTGAACCTATTTTTTAGGTAGATGTTTTCTGAAAGGGTGCAGGGCTGCCAATAATAAATTTTAGTTCCATGTATTACAGTTTTACAAAAAAATATATACAATGCAAGAGAAATATCTGAGACATTTCAAACAAGGGCACCGCTAAGCGGAGCATCTCCTCGCGGCAGGAAAATCACTAGTTATGGCAATATCTCATGACAGATAAATTCTGTAGATAGATGTTACACATGTTAAAGATTGATAGTACAACGTATCTTCTTTAATGTCCCTCTCATGAATATTTTGCTCATATGAAGGCTTGTCCGTGAAGAGCTGCTCATTTATTCCTATAATAGGCACTGACGGCATTGAGGGATCTTTTTGTACCGGAATCTATTGGGATATTGGCCCTTGGTTTACAGGTCTCATTCAAAGGACCAGTCTCCAAGTCCCACAGGGGGATTCAAACCCGCAACATTAGCATCAACTCCCTCACTTTTGAAAAATAATTAGTGGAGTGTTGCTGTTGTTGATCCAATTTTTTTTTTTACAAATTGCAAAGCGTCTTGATTAGTACATAACATTGATACTTAATTTTGGGTGGTAAAGTTTAATATTAAGGTATTAAATTGTTTTCTTTTCAGCTCTGTTTATTTCTTTAACAAAATCATAGAGGGTGGGGTGTCTATTTTTATCAAAAATCAAATTGCATAGAATTTAAGTTGGGAGTGGTGGGGGCATAGTATGCACACGTAATTGGGCAGTTTCCCTTATACCAATACTATAGTAGAAACATATCATGTATGCTACATGTACAAGTTTCAGTTATTTTCAATTATTCACATACCTAATTAGTATATTTCACAGTTCAAGGCAATATGAATTTTTTTTCGTAAGGGAAAATAACAATGTACCTCGAGAGTTTATATGAGCTTGTGGCATAGGCGTCGGAATCGGGGGTTATCCTCACACTTTATTGCAAATAAAGACAATTTCTTTGCATCAAAAATTGGGGTTTACCTTTTTTGTTGGTTTAGCCACCCCCCTCCCCCAACACATACACACACACATACTTTCACTTTAACGTGGACCCCAAATCCTCAGACATCTGTTGGAATTTTCTTAATGAAACCGTAACGTTCATCAAAATATTTTAATCGGGTTCGCACAGACTCGACACGCCGTTAAACTGGTTCCCTAGCGGAAATGATTGTCAACTCGTACATAAAATGCCAGGGTTTCGAGACAATGAAAATGCGATATCTTTAGAAGGAAGATATAGAAATAACGAGCAGTATTCAATCTCAACGTCCATCAAACAAATATACAAAATAAGAGCAGAGCAAACACGGACCTCCGAAACATCAGAGGTGGGATCAGGTGCCATGGAGGAGTGAGCATCCCCTGCCGACCGGTCACACCCGCCGTGTGCTCGTTGTCATAATCAGGAAATGACGGAAAAAATCCGTGGTCAATTTAGTGTATAAATAATGGACTAACAATTGGTATGAAAAATGTCAGTCAGCATTTCATTCAATGATAAATTGTATTTGCTGACAAGGTCATTGTATCGACCATAGAATTTACGAAATGATGACTTTAAACGAGACTGTTGATATTCTTGTTTCATCAACTTGCTTGTCAATAATTTACATCGTTTAAGAAATTGTTCATACGTAGAGCATGCTCTTGCGTATCGAATCAACTGAGATATAAATACTCCGTATGCAGGTGATGAAGGTATATTGCTGCATAAGTAAGGAAAGTTGACGATAGAAAAGGTAAAGTCATCAAGTTTATCATATAGCTTGGTTGTTAGTTTACCATTAGTGTCTTTTTCAAGTAAAATATCCAAGTATGAAGCAGAAGTGTCGGACTCGGTGGTATCTTTTATCTCAAGCTCACCAGGATATATCGTGTCGACGTAGGAATGGAAATTATCATTATTAATTGACAGTACGTCGTCGATATATCTAAATGTCGAGTTGAAGGCCACAGCAAGTGTTTTCTTCTTTTCACGCAAAAGATTTTGCATAATTTCTGCTTCATATGAATATAAAAATAAGTCTGCTAATAATTTTAACGGAGCGCAATTTATACCCATGGGAATTCCATTAGATTGTTGGAATACCTGGTCTCCAAAAACAACATAGATATTTTCAATCAGAAACTCAAGCATCTTCTTGATGTCAACTTCAGAGTACTATGTGTGCAATCAGAATCTGTTTTAACAAAATAATTTTTCAAATGACCAATGACGAGGTAAGTAAACTTATGAGTTCCATTTTTGTTGAAGAAGCTGCTGTCAATGATGTCAAAAAACCTGGATTTTAATTTGTCGTGGGGAATTGTTGTGTATAAAGTTGAAAAGTCGTAAGTTTTTATGCTGATGATTTTTGTAAAGTCTTGTGATTTCAAATTGTCCAAAAGTTCTATGAATTTTTAAGTATCCACATCTGATTTACACCTTTAGAAATATTTCATCACTGAAAATGAAAATTAATAGGTTTCGTCCTTTTATACTGCCACACAAGTATGTAAACGCTGAGAGTTGTTAATGCAAAGGTTCTCTTTCAATCTTGTCCACAAATGATTATGGTCAACTCGTACATAAAATATCAGGGTTCGCAGTAAAAACGCGATATCTGAAGAAGTAATTCATCAATGAACTTGGAAATTAATAGGCATTGTCCTTTCACACTGCCACACAAGTATGTTAACGCTGAGAAAAGTTAATGCTAATGTTCTCTGTCAATCTTGCCCACAAGGTAATGAACACACTAACACACACATCAATACGCACATTCGCGATGCTATATCCCCTCCGCAACTAGTTGCGCGAGGGGATAATAAATCATGTATAAGCTTGCGTGCACCCTAAACTTTGCTCTCGCGTTTGTTCAAGAGCCATCAGTGTTCAAACAACATTCACTCTACGTTCGTGCTGAGTTGTATGATCTTCGTATAGTAGGTAGTAGTCTAAGAACATTTAAAATATTTTAAAACGATATGTTTTTTACAGTAATAGGAAAATTAATGTACTATCACTATTCTTTTCAAGATTCGGTTGAAATCACGATACATCAGAAATGTGAAGACAACTCGTTAGAAGAAATGCTTCCTACAGTAAAAGGTCCATGGGGGAAAAAATGTATTGAAAACTCCTTCGTGAATTTTCTGACAGAGTTGATGGGAGAAAGTGTGATGCTAAAAATAAAGGAAAACTACATGAATGACTTTTTGGATATCATAAACATGTTCACTGAAAAGAGATGTAAAAAGATTTTCAATGCAGACAAAGTGGCTGTTCACGTACCATATAGTTTCATTGCAGTGTGTAATGATGCATATAATGGAGACGGTTTAACACAAATAATTGAGAAAAGCGCTTTTTATAAAAATAATTTGCGTTTTAAAGATCAAAAATTAATAATGAAAAGTAGCTTTTTCAGGGGCTTTTTCAAGAAAACAGTTGATAGCATTGTGAAACAGTTGGAGGAACTTTTCGCAGAGGATGTTGTCAAAGATGTTAAAACGATATTATTAGTCGGAGATTTATCTGAAAATTGGTTTGTCGTAGAAGCCTTAAAGAAAAATTTTGAAGATAAGGAAGTGTTTGTGCCTAAAGAAGGAAGGTTAAGTGCTGTTAAAGGCGCCTATTTCTTCAGTAAAATCCCAGAAGTAATTTCTAGACGTCCCTCGCAATACACATATGGTTTTCAGAGTTGGCCCGAATTTATTCCAGGTCATCATTTGGAGGGGAAAAAAGTTAAAATAAATGGATCTGTGCGATGTCGTGACGTTTTCTTGAAAGTCGTCCGGAAAGGCGAAAACGTTATGCCAGGGTACACAAAAGCCGAAATTTTGAAAATTCCTAATGATGAGGGGTGCCTGAAGTGTTGCTTGTTTTTTACCGAAATGGAGAACACAGATTTTATCGACGAACCTAGATGTAAACTTCTAGGGGTACTTCGACTTCCACTATCATCCATAAATGATGAAGCTTCATGTGAAATACGATCATCATTGCGTTTTGGGGAAACTGAATTGGAATTTGAAGTCATGGATGTGTCCTCTGGTGTGCAGCATAAAGCCATTTTTGATCTTTATGAACACTAATTATTGATACATAATCAGTAATAATCAGCTAACGGGTGTATGAGCAAGTGTTATCAATATAAATGCAAATAAAACTGTACATTTTTGTCCCTGAATTATAGGTGGCCCATGACACGTTTAGGTTCATGACTATTCGTACCTTCCAGGTTAGAGAGTGTCAACGTACAGTACCCGCATCGTTATTCTTTACAAGATACACGATACGATAGGATACACGCACGATACGATAGGATACATGCACGTTACGATAGGATACACGCACTATAGGACAGGATACACGCACGAAAGGATAAACGCAGAACACGATAAACGCAAAACACGATAGACCTGATAAACGATCTTCACGATAGGATAAACTCAGAAATAGGATTGTTTCAAAATGCGGAACGTTTTCTGACGAGACGAAAAGAATAAAAGATTATTTTGTTTAGTTACTGCAATATTTTAATTTAAATACCTGAAAAGCTTTTAATTATAAAGTATATTTGATTATTATAATAAAAAGAATTGAGATCACTGGTAACTTTAAAATAGTTGTTTATTTTTGTATATTTTTTGACAATGTTTAAATAGATAATTATTAAATGCACACTGTATTTTTTAAAAAATTTTACTAAGGGGAATGGATTTGCGATAACTAGTGTAAATGTTGAAAATCTCATCTTAAGGTTGAACTTTGACTCTTTTAATTATGGAAATTTTAACATACATTAAATTGTTGCACAAAAATCCCTTACATAATTATATGCTGTTTCTCTCGGGTACTATTGTCACATACAATTCATCTGCTATTGTTATATTCTAACATATTTTTATTCAGTCACATACAAAGCATTGTTTTGAAATTTATTATAAAGATTTTATAAACTTAAAGATCTTTTATTTTTGAAAACTATGTAAAATTGTATTATAGAATATGTTTATTTCTAAATCAATTGTATTCAAATGTGTGAAATTCTTAACGATATTTTTTTCTCATAGTCCAGATTTATGTACCAAGCTAATTTTGTTTGTGACATTTGTTGTTTGTATATAATGTGATTCATTTTGTGTCTTCTTATGCTCATTTTCCTTTGATGTTATTGATTTCTTTGTTACTTAAGAGGTGTCATTCAATTTATTGTTCAAACTCCAGGTGTCATACCTGAGACTTTTATTTACTCAAGTTAAGCCCCTTAGCAAAAAGTAGTTACTTACTTGAGGTGAATAATTATTACGCGTTAATTGTCTTTTTACTTATATTTTTCTAAACATCCGCAATTTTAACAATTTTCATTGGTCACTTTTTCAAGACCTGATTTTTTGCGACAGGCAAGAGTTAGGCAATGCGCATCACTTTCAAGATTGCGCTATATCAATAAAGTCGTAAACTTAATCCCAACTCTGCGCCTTTTTTTCAAGGTATGTACATTGTATTTTGTTTTATTTATAATTCCTTATAGCATAAACTGTCTTATTTAATTCTATTTTCAAATGTTAAAAGTTAATTTGATTGTCCGAAAATTCCTAATTAATTAAAGAAATATTTTTTTTATTTTTCTTTTCACTGATGCTCTTTTTATCTTAATTGTTTTAAGTGTGTTGTATATAATTTACTGACAATGTATTATAAGTATTTTATGTCAAATATATTCTATAATTTTTTTTCCCTCTAAAACTGTCACTCTGTTAACGGGAAATAACTCTGTTACCTTCAGAACAATTAGAACTACTCTTTTGTGTATGGAGATAGGATGTTTGTAATTCGTTTGTAAGTCGTTAAGAAGCAAAGATGACTCGCAAAAATTCCTTTCTTAAAACTGCGTAAGTGTTCAAAATTGTTAAACACGAGTTACCTTGATTTCCCATGTTTTCAGATATTTAAATCACACAATTTAATGTTATAAAAATTGGACGTTATAGGTTTATAATAGATGCACGCATAATCGCTTATGTAAACATTGTACTTTCACTTTCACCATAATCTTTTACGCGACTTTCAGATGTGTATTTAATTTTTAAACTTTTTAAAATTAATTAATTGCAATATACATTTTCTATCTATAGTTTTGGTTAACTGTCTAATTGTGTACCATGTTATTTATGCTGGTCTCATTTTATTTTATTTTTAGAAATTTACTTTGCTTTGTTAAACGAGACCAGGTTGTTTATATATTATGATTACTTTCAAGATTGCGCTCTATCAATAAACTCGTAAACTTAATCCCAACTCTTTGCCTCTTTTTCAAGCTTCTCGGATCCAACCTACTTAGGATTGTCTCATGAAGCAGAAATAGTCTTCAATAGGATCGGGTATATGTTAAAGTCAAAAACACACCCAAACCGTGTGAGACAAAGTGGCGGAGATCCATTCCATCCCTACCTCCCGCAGCCAAGTCGAAGTGCTCTACTGAGAAATTCCCTAAAGTTCAACACAACATCATCAACCGATCCATTGTTGACTTCACACTATCAACTGCGTCAGATTCATCATGCCTGGGCCTACGACAAGACAACAATCTTCAAACAATTCTATTTTCCGACGATTAGGCTGCAAACCCAATGTGCCGTTAAAATATCAACGGGTTAACTCTGTGAAATCAACCTAACAGTCTCAAAAGAATAAAACAGTTGCCGCCACAGCCACCACTGATACTATTACAGAGTCTGCAGCCTCCAATCTGATGCCACCTCAGCTCAGCATTCTCCCCCTCAACCACCCACACAAACAGATGAAATGTCAGATTCCTCAATCTAATCCTGCAGTGATCTTAGACTAACCTCCTTCTGAACAATCAGCTGGACACAACATTCCCCCATCACCTGTCCTGTCCACATTGTATGCTGCATCCAATCCTACCACTATCCCGGCTGTGGTACATACAACAAATGTCTCACCCGCACTTCCTACTATGATGTCACAACAGAATTCACCACCAACGCAATTCCCCCTAATTGTCACACATACACTTCCTTCGGACTCACAGTCTGCGCCAACACAACCAAACCTTGTGCCAACACAACAACCTGTACTGGTCCAGCACGCCATCCCATCAGGATCACAACAGATGCCAGCACAATCTCATCTACCAGCACTACAGCCTGTGACGGGTGGGAACAACATCCCACCAGCACCCGCTATGTATCAGACACCTGTCATCCAGATGGTTCAAGTACCTGTCCAGAGTCAGACTGTTACCCCTCCACCCCGGGCCAACATCACCTTAGAAAAATATGATGGAAAAACATCTGCCATCCAATTTTTTTTAGAACTCTTTTGTGTAAAGAGATAGGCTTTTTGTAATTCGTTTGCAAATCGTTAAGAAGCAAAGATGACTCGCAAAAATTCCTTTCTTAAAACTGTGTAAGTGTTCAAAATTGTTAAACACGAGTTACCTTGATTTCCCATGTTTTTACATATTAAGATCATGCAATTTAATGAAATAAGAATTGAAATTTATAAATTTATTAGATGTACGCTTAATCGCTAATGTAAACATTGTACTTTCACTTTCACCATGATCTTTTACGCGACTATCAGATGTGTATTTTATTTTTAAACTTTTTAAAATTAATTAATTGGAATATAGATTTTCTATCTTTAGTTTTGGTTAACTGTCTAATTGTGTACTATGTTATTTACGCTGGTCTCATTTTATTTTATTTTTAGAAATTTACTTGCATTATTAAACGAGACCAGCTTGTTTATATATTATGAGGACTTTCAAAATTGCGCTCATTCAATAAACTTGTAAACTTAAGGTTACTTACCACAAACAAAAAAAATGGATGCGCGGGTTGATATATATTTTTTGACTGATTTTGATTTGATATGACATAAATAATAAAACCCTGAAATATAAAGAAATCGTAGGTTTTCCTTGGGGCTTAGATATGAGATTTTGTTTTGCTTTCTATATAATTCAATACAAAATTTTGCACAATTTTTTAACCTTATGACAAAATCTTATAAAATTTTCCAACTCTACTTGGTAAACATTATTCAGGATGTCAATTTAAATGTAAATCCATGAAAAACAATGCTGATTTCTGAAAAAAGTTTGTTTGTGTTATTTATCCTTAATTCCAACTCTTTGCCTCTTTTTCAAGCTTCTCGTATCCAACCTACTTAGGATTGTCTCATGAAGCAGAAATAGTCTCCAATAGGATTGGGTATACGTTAAAGTCAAAAATACACCCAAACCGTGTGAGACACAATAACTCCTTCTAAAGTCTCTTCATTCCGGCATTTGCTTTTCTGTAAAATATTTTACCTGATATTCACAATTCAAAAGTATCTTTAAAGTAAGAAGTATTTAGGAACAATCAGCATCAGAATTATGCATTTTAACCAGTTTTTACATATTTTTCTCAATATTGTTTACAAAAAATGTACAATTTTTTATGTTGACATACACTTCTATTTATTTATGTTTCGCATCTTAAATAATATGGTGACCTATACATTTTTTTGCAATAAATGGAAAGTTTTAAGTACATTGAATGAAAATAAATGCAGTTTTTGTACTTTGAACCTATAAAAATGTGAGGGTGGAAATTCCTTAAGCATTGTATTGAAGTATTTTTAGTTCAGACATGTGCACTTTAACTTTATGCATATTAGCTAATCAGCGCATGCGCAGTCTTTCTACCTTATATAAACATCCACAATATTTTTACTGTTTATAAAGGGATGTTTTATATGTTTGTGCGTCATAAATAACGATCTATGAACGACTTTACCTACATTAAAGCAGCACCGAGGATACACGGCGTAGGATTTCATAGGTAAATGCTTACTATTTATCGCTATTTGCGTGAAAAATCAATAGCGTCGGTTCAAGGTTCACCCAGTGCAAATGGCACGCAGTGACGCTGAAGTATAAACTAGAACTGTCCAATAGGGACAAATACCCCCCGCTGGGTTTTTCAGAGAAGGTGCCAATTCAAAAATACTTTATGGATCTAACGATGTACACAATTTACATTAAAAAGTTTATAATTTGCAGTGAAATATAATT